GGCAGTAGCAGTAGTAGTAGCAGTCGTAGCAGCAGCAGCAGCAGCAGCAGCGGCAGCAGTAGTAGTAGTAGTAGTAGTAGCAGCAGCAGCAGCAGCAGCAGGAGGAGGAGGAGTAGTAGTAGTAGGAGTAGCAGTAGCAGTAGCAGCAGCAGCAGCAGCAGGAGGAGGAGTAGTAGTAGGAGGAGGAGGAGGAGGAGCAGTAGTAGTAGCAGTAGCAGTAGCAGTAGCAGTAGTGGTAGTAGTCGTCGTCGTCGTCGTCGTAGTAGAGCAGGAGTAGCAGCAGTCGCAGTCACAGTCGCTGTCGTAGTCGCAGTCGAGGTCGTGGTGGCAGTGGCAGTGGTAGCGGTAGTAGTGGTGGTTCCCAAAGCCTACTGCAAGCCCGTTTGCCGAGGACCTACGGAAGGTGGTACGGCTGCTGAAAGCGCATCCTGCGAGCGCCCGACGGCCAAGTCTTGTCAATGAAAGCGTTTAGAAGATTGTTTAGGGTTCAGGATTTGGGACATATCCAGAGAGTTCTTTCTTCGGTTTAGGGTTTTTGGTGAAGTGGACATCGAGATTCATTGTCATCTCACGGGGAAGATACTGCTGTTGAGCATGAATGCCGGCATGCTGCATGCCTCAAAGGCTAAGCCGCTTCTTCTGGGCGTCCGACTTGCCGGGAAGGACCCCAGGGGTGCGAGGATCCCGGCTCCTGGGATCGGAAGCATGGACTTGCGAGTGAGTTCCAGCCTATTCGTGAGGGTTTTGGGTTTAGGGGTTTAGGGTTTAGGGTTTAGGGTTGAGGGTTCTTTGATGTTCCTCTTCAAGGAGGACTTCTCACGACAGAACTGTCCAGAACTCAGCAGGAGTCCCCAGTGGTGGGGAAGCTTCCTCCTACACAGGCCGGTGTGATTCCGTGTGTAGCTTTTATCACTCAGACGCAGCAGAACAGAGGCTTCAAAGTCGCACCCATACTCCGAGCAAAAAGCTGCAGGAACCCGTCAAAACTTCAGTTCAGCCCAAAACCCCCAAGCCCTAAAGCCTAATCCCGAGCCCTGAGCCCTAACCCCATCTAAACCGCAGAACCCAAACCCTGAACCCTAAACCCTAAACCTTCATGTGACTTCAGTTCAGGTTCTTGACGGCATCGCCCAGCTTTTGGGCCCGCAGCCTTGCAATCGAACACTCCTGGTCTGGAGTCCCAGGTTTTTTTTTGGGGGTCTCGGGTTCAGGGATTTAAGACAAAATGGGTTTAGGGATTGGGGATGAGGGTTTAGAGATTTTGGTTTCGGGTTCAGGGATTTTTGGGGAGAGATTAGGGAGATTAGGGCTTGGGGGATCCCATGGGACTCACAGACTCGAGAGGCTCAGAGCCTTTTTCTGGACCCGAGGCCTGGCAGAAGCTGCTTCTGAGGCAGCACCAGGAGTACTATGAGGCGCCTCCCTCGAATCACCCTGTCGGTGGCCGTGGCATGCTGAGGAGACTATGCCCTTGGGTTTAGGGTTTAGGGTTTTTTTTGTAGCAAGACTCTGTTGTTCTCGGCCTGGGAAGCACCTGCTTAGCTGCCATGTGCGCAGCAGGCAAGCTTCAGGCTCGATGACTTCTTCGACGAGGAGTTTACAGCGTCATTGGCTCTGCACAGGGGTGGCGGGTGGCTAGAGCTGGCAGTTGCTCAGTGGATGCTTCTCTAGCCATGAGAACTGCATGGCGAGCTTGGCTCTAGCCATGCATGTGCCACAAAGCTCAGAAATCAGTTGACGATACTTGAAGGTTTCATGGTTAGGCAACGCAGGGTCTCGATAGCACCTAAGCACTTGCAAGCCGGGACTGAAAAACCGTCGACATAGTCGACATCATTCTCACAGGAATTGTTGAGGGCAGCGTTACAGTAACGCTCAAACGAAGAAAGCACAGCGCAGAAGGGTCACTCTGAAGCCCAGGATACATCTCAAATACTCAGCATAGGCCTCTTAAGTATCTAGAGTTGTTCGGTTTGGGCTTGTTGCGATTCCGTTCGACCAGGTTCCTACTCTGCAGGAGTCTTCGATAGGTCCTCGGCTTCATCGCCTCCTGAGTGGCCACAAACTAGCTCGAAGAGGCTACTGTAGGCAGCGCTGCTCTCATGGTCACTCGAAAGAAGGGCAGGGCTGCGGCCCAAAGCAAGGGCGATGTGGTGATGACTCCTGCGGGCCAGGACTGAATCGCTGAGAGCATCCCAGCCTCTTCCAGTGCTGTAAGTGGGCATCTGCAATTCTGCGAGGATGCAAAAGTCAAAAAAACAATCAACAAGAGTGTCTCAGCTGAAGTTGGCCACACCATGGCTCGTTCTGAAAGTTGCAATGGTGGACATAGCAACGGTTTCGTGACAGTCACAAGGGCTCGCAGCAATTTCCCATCAGAAGTCCTGCATCACTGGCCCTCCTGGCTTCCATGATGGCAGTTCTTGTCAGTTGGCTTCGTCTTCGGTCTAAACCCTAAACCCTAAACTCTAAGCCCTAAACCCTTCTCAGAAACCTGGAGCTCGAAGCTCTTTGAAGTCGTCGGCCCACTGAAACCAGGCCGCCGGCGCAAGGCGACAACGGCTCCAGCCAAGGCGGCACCGGAATCAAGGCGCCAGCGAGCGTCACACGTGTTTTGTATTCGTGGGGTTTATAAAATAGGCCGCTAGGACCGCTAGGAGCTTTCCATCCTAAACGGTCCCGTCTGGGAGCCTATGTAATTGTCACGTTTGCGGATGAAGATGCAATGAGTATACTTCGCGGTCGGAGGATCCAGACAGATAGCCCCGGCTTGAAGTCTGCACATGGCGCAGAGCATCCAGCCACCCTAAGCCCAAAACTCTCCGTCAAGTGCGCATGGCCTTCCTGACCTGCACCGGAGGAAGCAGCGCCGCAGCGCCGCTGCATTGGTGTTTTGTGGTGCAAGTGCTTACATTGAGAAGGTCAGGATCGTGCGCATCAATGAGCATGGTGCTGCGGCACGTGCTCCCCATCACTGCCACCCGCATCCCGGACCCTAAACCATCTCATCTGCTAATAGTGTACACAGCTGCCGTCAAAAGCGTCAAGAGCCAGGGTATGGCAGTAGCATGGTTTCAGGAAGCAAGGGACCCAATAGAGACCATAGGTACCAGGATCCTGAATCGAGGGAGACCCGTATAGTTGTTGATCTGGGATGCGATGCGCCCCTTAAGGAAAAAGGCTGGCCTCTTCAGCCGTTTCAGGCGGGCCTGTGCGATGGAGAGACTTACAGTGGATTACAGCGGGCATCTATGCTGTAAGCCGCAAAGTGCACCACCAGTAGAACTCCTGAAACGAGCATTGCACGAGGCAGGAGTGAGGGGCGCAAGGGTTTTGCTGCCTACTCCGAGCAGTGACGAAAGATTGGTTGTTCTCCTTTTAAGCACGTCTTGAAGTTGGTAGCGGCTGGAAGTGTTGACAAAGCCTGAGCTTCGAGCTTTTTTTGTGCCTTGCCGAAGGCGGCGAAAGCGAAGAGGAGACTTGAGAATCGCTCCAAACTTGTCGCGTACAGATGTTGGTATGCATGTGTTGGGTACGGCAATGAAGGACGGGGGGAGGGGGGGTGGGGGTGAGGGGCGGCGGCGGGTTGAAAAAGTTGCTTCGGGCTGCGCTGTGTTGCAGGAGCTGCGAAAGCGACAGGCCGAAGAGTGGAAGTCCATGAAGGCTCGCACAAACAAGTGTAAATTCAGGCGGAGAGGCAAGAGGTGGGAAGATGTCATAGGCGAGTCGCGACTTGAATCACTTGTATATCGGATACCTCAGCGAACAGGAATTTGGGTCTGAAAGCAGTGTTGACATCTTCTGGTTGCGTAGAAACATGGCAATACCTCACCATGATCATGCTTTGAGACAAACAGTCCATGCAGCACTCATGCAATTTCTGCCTCAGCTGCGTCACACTGTCCGCCTTTGCCTGCAAGGCGAAATTGTGGCTTGGGTGAGGTCTGTTGGCAGGTGATATATCCTAATTTCGATGCTTTCGAAGGATGCGGTTGAATGCCTGGCTCGTGGCTTCCCGGTTCCCTTGTCGAGTCAGCATCCATGTGCTGTCGTACCATCCACTGAAACTCGAGCTCGGTGCACAGGTCGTCATCATCATAATCATCATCACCATCATTGCCATCACTATCATCACCACCATCATCATCATCATCATCGTCCTCCTCCCCCTCCTCCCCCTCCTCCTCCTCCTCCTCATCCTCATCCTCCTCATCATCATCCTTGTCATCACGATCATCGTCATCATCGTCGTCATCATCATCATCATCGCCGTCGCCTTGGCCATCGCCATCTCCGTCGTCATGATCATCGTTGTGTTTGCACATCTCTCACTGTTGTGTCGGGACGCAGGCTTCAGCTACGTAGGTTCAGCTGCAATGCGAAAGTTCAAGGTTCGAGTTCTTTTTAAGACCCGGATGACAGCTCCACAGGCGAAAGTGGCAGCTCTCAAGAAGGATCGGCAGAAGCTGCCCACGCGAGGCCGCGCTGCTCTGCTCTGCTAGAAAAGGAGTTGTTGGGAGTAAGATTAGTGAGATGCCTTCAACCAAATTTGGAGTTCCGTGAAGGCAGCAAGGAGAAGCGGCAGGCCTTGAACCAAGACATCCGCCGACTGCAGGAAGACATGCAGGCGCAGTCCTTGAAAGTGCTGGGGGAGCCTGGTTAAAAAGGAGGGGTCAGTTTGCTTCGGGCTTCCGGGATATCTCTCCGTGAAACACGCCTTGCACAGGTGAGGCATATGGCGGAGCTTCGGGCTGCGGGTCTCGAAGCGACCACGAAGGTGCTCGGTGGGAGCTTTTCCGGGACCCTGGATCTGTTGCCTTGCGGATTCATACATTCAGCAACCCATAGGACCAAAACCAGTAAGCCCACAAGGCGTGGCAGGTTGCGGTGTCATAGTCATAGCACCGGCCCGAGCACGTCCGCTGCAGGAAGACATGGAGCTCTGAGTACTGCCGAAGTGCGGCAACGAGCTCCCCTTGCGACACAAAGCCAGCCAGCGCCGAGCCGAAAGAAAGTGTTGCTTGTGTGAAACAAGAGATGACCGTGGCCGGACATGGCTTGGTTGTCTGCACTGCGAACCTAAACCTGGGAAGGAGTTGCTGAACTTTGACGAAGTAGACGCTGAGAGTGCGGAGGCCGGAAGTGAGGCAGACCTACTCCTAGGCCACTGTAGTGCTCTGCAGCGGCAGCGGGAAAAGAATGGCAAATGGAGCTATTCTGTCCCTGACGCGGCTGCCACCAGGCGAAGCTCATTCGTGAAGAGCTCGAAGGCCACGGTCCCTCTTGCAGTGGCAGTTTTGCCGCCTAGTCTACTACAAGGCATCACAAGGTTTGTGGTGCTGTTTGGGATGCCATGGAGGTCTTAATCTAAGCGACCTCTTCGCCGATGTCGAGGAGGTTGGGTCCCACCCATCCCAGTGCTGCTTACATCTGCTTAGATCTGGTGTCACGTGAGGCCACGATGGGGTCTGAGCCCGGCCCGGTCCTTTGTAGATCCGACCTAGCTGGGCTTGAGCTTGCGTGTGATCTTTGCCTGCCCTTCACCCAAAAAGCGAGCTCTTTGCTGGGAAAAATCGAGGCGCCCCATGGGGCGATGATGAGACGATGACGACTCCTTTCATCTGGGATACTCCGGAAGAGCCCTCGCTGCCGGACCGGAGACCGAATGCACGCATGGAAATGAGAAAAAGCCACGCGGTCATGGCTTCGGAGGATTCCCACATGGAGCGAGCTCTACCTGAAGGCCGAGCAGAAACCCGCAAGAGCTTTAGACTTCTAGAGGGGAGCCTTTCTTCTGAAGAGCACAGCGTCGTGGCTGGGAAGCGAAGTCCCCAGTTTCCGGCACTTTGCAATGCCTCAACCTGGGACTCCGTGCCCCTGCTTGCTCTCCGGGAAGGAGGGTTTCTCCACGCCGTGCTTGTTGCTACTATTCCTCGTCCTCCCTCTGACTTTTACCGCAAGCACTACCACTGCCACGACCAACATCCTACCCCTCGCCCTAACCCTACCACTACCCCTCCCATTCCTTCTAATCCTGCTCCTGCTACTGCTGCTGCTGCTGCTGCTGCTGCTACTACTACCACCACCACGACGACGACTACTCCTCCTCCTACTGCTACTGCTACTCAAACGGCAAGTTTGATGACCGGGTTATCATTATCTAATCTATTAGTATCTTTACCCATCCTACCTCAATCCAAAACCTTATCATCAGAAGGGTACCTCAGGTAAAGTACGTCAGCATGCTCGCTGAAGTTCCCACTTTTGCAGGACGACACGTCTGCTGTGGGCATAAGACCGCGACCGCAGCTCTGCTGTGTGCGAACAGTGGGGGCCTCTTTGCCAGATTGCTGTAGGGCTCCGGTCGCGAGTGATGTGAAGCAAGTCTGTGCAGTCATTAGTTTGCAGTTTCAGGAAGACCACGCAGCAAGCACTTAAACTTGAAAGACTGCAACAGTGCAGCTGTTGCAGGTCCTTTGTTTCGTTATATTGCTGTGACGTGTTTAACCATTGCTTTGCTGTGTTCCAAATTTTGGCAGAGATTCATGAATGATTAGTCAAGAACACCCTTGCGTGAACATCATGTGTGGAGAGGCATTGAGGTAACCAGCGTGTGTGTGTGTGTGTGCGTGCTAGCACGAAGCTCGCTCGGCAGAACGACGGGACGACGGTTTGAGATGAGGGAGCATGCATGCTGGGTTGGGCTAGTCTGTGCTGATCTCATTGGTGACAGGTACTGTCCCGCCTCTCGGCGAGCCTGTTGACGAGTTGAAGACCTTGATTGTAACGTGCGCTTGCATAGCCAAAGTCCGAATGTAGAGATGCAGAGCACTTTGGTAGCATCATTGCCCATGGAAGCTCACAGAATCTGAGCCTTGGAAGAAGGTATGCGACGGAGCATGTTCACAGCTTTGCCCAGTACTCACTGCCTTTGAATGCACCTCGCCAGCAGTTCTTGCAAGTCGTTGTACCAGTGGATGTTGGCTTAGTCCTAGAGGTTTCTGACGCCGAGGCAAACTGGGCACGCGACTTCGGCCACTCTTTCGTCGTCGATGCGCGTGCGCGCGCCTCCGGAGGCTCGGGGCCCCGCGCGAGCTTGGCTCGGTGGACTGGGGGTTCGGCTGCGAGGCGTTGACGTCAAGAACTCCAAGGTCCTTGTGAAGAAGCACTGGGTCGATCACCCCAAGGTGACCGCAGGAGGCCCAGGTCAAGCAGGGTCTCAAAATTGAGCGTCCAGGCGTCAATCATGTCTAGCATGCTGCTGGTTCGCTTATGCATGGTCGCTCATTTTTAGGAGTTCGAGCATCTCCTGCTGTGGCCGGGAAGCCACGACTGCCAACACTAAACCCGAAACCCTACACCTTGAACTGTCTTGAACCCGTCCAAAAAACCCGAAGCCTGAACCCCAAACCCCAACACCCTAGATCCTATACCCTATCATGCTTGAGAAAGTGTGGCTGCTCAGGAGGAGTGGATTCTGTGGATCGGAGCCGATGCTGTCCTGGTCAACTTCGACAGTGACATCTTGAGGCCAGGGGCTGCAGTATGGCATAATGTCATAACGTAGTTTGTTGGGTATTTGTGATATGATTTAGAATTTAATGGTACATTCTGGTATATCGTACGCAAGTGCTCTTTTTTGGAGAAAGGGAAGTAAGGCGGCGACCATGATACCTTATGGGGCTAAGGCTTGAGGATTTAGGGTTTAGGGCTCTTGATACCTTTATATTAGATCGATTATAGGGACGCCTTCCGCTGCTTTCATTTCTCCCTTTCCTAGGCAGGGGAGGCGGAAAGTCTGCTTTGCACTGCCAGGCAGACGATTCGCCTACATGCGACCCCGCAGGCGCAGGCCGGAGCTCTTTTTACGCAAAGGGCTTGGAAGCGTTTAGGTTTAGGGTTTAGGGTTTAGGGTTTAGGGTTGATGAATCGAAGCTGAAGGCGGCATTCACCAGCCTTTTGGTGACGCCTAAGCTCTGATCCGATGCGAGTTTTCCGTGCCCGGGCTCCTGCCCCCGAGATCGCAGGTCATCATCACTCGGGATCCACACGGGAGAGCAGGAGACTCCATGTCCCTCTTCAACGCAGATGTCATCCTCATTCGAAGGCTCCCTCGCACAGAAACCTCAACCAAGCATACGAGCTTTCACTCCAGCTGCCGCCAGGTCTCCATGGAGCTCGCAGTTTCTGCAGCGGTGGTGGGACGACGAACGCATGAAAGAGGGCCGCACTGACCAGGAGGTGCTCGAACTCCTCTACGTCGAGGCCTACTGTCGTGGGGCGGTCTGGGTTTCAGTGTCAGTTCGTGAGCACCAAGTATGTTAATGACCACGCAGTTGCTGGTTGTATGTTAGGATGTTTTGTTGGCACTGGTCACGCGCGTGTTCGCGAAACATTGCTGCTCCGTTTCTGTGCAAATGCCCCTGTCCGGAGGATGTACTGGGAGCTCGAAAAGCCTTTGTCCTCCTACCACCCAGAGCACTGAATTCCGCAGCTTGCCTAGAAATGTTAGATCTGAGGGTTTGAAAATGCACGGTTGTCACTCCCGCGAGATGTAAAATCTGGCTTGATCTGTATTCTTGCATGTCACATGTTGAGGGTTCGACCATGGATGTCGTAGCAGTGGCAGCCATGCGAAGCGGGGCTAAGTGAAGATTTCTCCGTGCAGGACTCCCTTTCCATCATCGCTGGACCTCCCAGCGAGCAGCCGGTGGTGCATTTGGGAGGCGCCTCCAAGCCCTAAACGTTGATCATGGCTTTGAAGTATGACTATTACTTCTACTGATACTACTATTATGTTCATTATTGTTGTGATTATTATTGTTACTGTTGTTATGATCACATCGCAGGCCACAGCGACGCTGTGCGGCAGCGTGTTTTCAGCGAAGGGCTGCGGCTGTTGTGCCAGGCCAAAGCTTTGCTCCAGGGTAAGCAAAGCTAGCACAACGTCTGAGGTAGGACAGTAGCCCCGTAGTTAGATTCCAGTGATCAACAAGTGACGTGAATCCTTACTGTTACCCTGAGACAAGATCACACAATCTAATCAAATATGATCTGCTGACAGAAGATAGTATGACATGTGATAGTACAGTAGATATTATATGTTTTTTTGGTCATTGTATCATGCTCTGTTCGATTCGAATTCAAAGCCTAAACCCCTAAACCCTACACCCTAAACCCTAAACCCAAAACCCTACACCCTAAACCCTAAACCCTAAACCCCTAAACACAAAGCTCTTGTCAGGAGCCGCTGGGAAGCTCCCGGAGTTTGGAGCTTCGGAGCGCCCCGGATTCCATAAGGACGTCGCCGGGCATCGCCGGGACGGCCTGCAGAGCCCTATATTTTAGGGTTTAGGGTTCAGGGTTTAGGGTTCAGGGTTTAGGCTTTAGGTTTAGGGCTTCCCCAAGTTGGGCACTGCAGGCCGCCTCAGGGGCTCGGGATCATCTCGCTCATCCGCAGCTTCATACGGTTCAACTCCTCCTTTTGTGGCATGTAGTTTTTGACTGTTTGGGGATTGGCAGGTTAAAGGTTATGGGGCGTAGGGTCGGTGTGAAATGCCGAGAAGCTTTAGGAACTTTAGGGCCAAACTTTAGGGTCCTCGTCTTCTCTGTCAGCAGGTCAGCCCCCATGATGTTCAGACGCCCAAAATCCTAGCATGGCCTTCTCCCAGAAATGCGAGCGAGATGGCGACCACAGAATCACAACAATTATCGTCGTGATCCTCATCCTGTGCCTCCTCCTCCTCCCCCTCCTCCTCCTCCTCCTCCTCCTCCTCCTCCTCTTCGTGCTCCTCCTCTGCACATCATCATCAGAATCATCATCGTCTTCTTCTTCTTCCTAGTCATCTTCGTTGCACCGTTTCACTCGTCACCATGTGTCGCCTCGCGGAAGTACTGCACTGGAAGAGTTCTGCGCAGCCCAGGACTACCCAGAACCATTGTAAATATGTAGGTTCTGTAGGTCGTCTTTTAGAACGTAGTGCCTTTATAGCAAATAAAAATAAACATCAAATTCAGAATATCTTGTGTGTATGTATGTATGTATGTATGTATGTATGTATGTATGTGTGTGCATGTATGTATGTATGTATGTAGGTAGGTAGGTAGGTAGGTAGGTAGGTAGGGAGGCAGGCAGGCAGGCAGGCAGGCAGGCAGGCAGGCAGGCAGGCAGGTAGGTAGGTAGGTACGTAGATAGTAGATAGGTAGGTATGCATGTGTACACATACATACATACATGCATGCATGCACACATA